AGGTGAGAGGACCCCCCCCCCCCCCCCCCCCCGGGAGACTTGTCTTCTCTTGGTGGGATATGCCTGATTTGCCAGACTTCAAATATTCCCTCTCCTGTCGGGAGGCTATACTGGTGAGTGACAGACACTTGAAGTGTGTCTGTTGCCTGGGGAGTCCCATATCTCCCAGAAGTGCTCCTTTTGTTTAACCCTTAAGTCCAGGGCTAGGAAGAACAGGGATATAAAGCTCATGCTATTGGCGATGGTGTGACAGATTTTTGTTACCCATCTGCCTGAGGCGTCAGGTGATCAGGCTGAGGCCGCAGGACCATTAGAGGAGGAGATGACGGAGCACACCAAGTAACTGAGTTTTAAAGCTTTATTGATAAAATAACAGCAGAGAGTGCTGGGGGTTCCCCACGTCACTCAGAGGAAGGAAGAAAGTGTTAGTGCCCCAAGCCCTAACCCACTTTCATACTCTCACCCGCACTACCCGAGGCTGACCAAGCCTGGGCGTAACATAAGAAGAAGAGGGGAAAGGGTGGACGGGAGTTCTTGTCCTGTGCATGGGTCTTCCAGGGTCCGCTGTTGATCTCTGATTTGCCTCAGCTCCCGGGAGGGTTTTTAAGTCCTGGGGTCTCTTGGGGGCGTCTCCTCAGGGACCTTTGTTCCTCATGCTCTGTGTACCAGTTCAAACTGGCCTTCTGTGGCTTCCTCAACTTTTCCAAAACACACCGGCTTCAGGGCCATGAGACGGTTATTTTTTCCCTTGTTGTCTTACTCCTTTTCGTGGCCCCTGCAATTTTGTTCAGCAACTCTCCTTTCTCACGGCTAGTTGGGGTGGGGTGGACTCCCCCCACCCCCTTCTTTCTTGGCAGGTAGCAGAGTGTGTGCAATTGCCTTGGGCTGGAGTTAGCTCCTTATCTTCGGGTTTAGCTGGAACATCAAGTTAACCCGTTCCCTCCCCCCCCCCCGGCCTTTCTCGCCTGTAAAGAAAGCTTTTGTTCCGCATTCATAACTTAAACCCTTCCCAAAATGCCTTGTGAATCTTGCAACAGCGTTAGCAACATACAATGCTAATCTGCCTCCCCAGGGGACCCCCTGAGGGAGGGGGCCATTGGGTTGTGACAATGGAACATTCCCTGCAACCTCTCAGCCAGGTCAGGAGACCTCTCCTCCCTCCTTTTGTACATTTGTCCCCAGACAGATACAGTGTTCTGTCAACCTTGGGGCATGCTTCTCCTAAGAAAGGGAAGACTTTAGAACACTCTGGGAATAATCCCAAAAAGAGGCGCATAGACTCTATATCTAAGGAGCCAGCTCCAAAAAAGACCAGGCCCCTGTTGAAGTCCTCAGAGGGTACTGTGGAGGCCAAGGACTCTTTCTCCAGTACTGGCAGGCCTGCGAAGCCCCGAAGCTCCAAGTAGAGGAAACACTGCACGGAGAGGGCGCCTGTACCCTCCACCAGTAAGAAGAAACACATGGTACTATCAAGCTCAGCTCTGCCACTGGCATTGAAGCACTCAGCTCAGACATTGGTGCTGTTGTGGGCCTTAACCCAGTAATCGGTACTGATGCAAGGAGCTCAGTGGGGAATGACTGTACAAGCAATACCCTTGATATCAAGCAAGTATCTGCATCTGGCAGAGCCTGTGGTATGCTCGTTGTTACTGGTACCGTTGGCTCCAATCATCGTGACCTTGGCTTCAATGTCGGTACCGGTGTCCTTTCTGGTACCACAGGAGTTGCAATACTTGAGTGATCTATCGGTGCTGAATGAGCCAGCGTCCCTGTTGCTGTCAGGTACCAGCTTAGGTAGCAGCTCAGGCCACTCTGTGGCACAGGACTCTCCTCCATTCTCACTGGCTATCCCCTACCCCCATTGGAGGTCAGGAAGGAAGAAGAGGACTCCCAGTTGGTCTCTTTGATTTCTGTTAGGGGTTCTCCTACATACCCCTTTGAGAATCTGCTCTCCTGCAGGAAGGACTTTGCGGCACATCAATCACGGTGGAACCAACCCTATCTGCCACCCTCACAATGGCCGTATTGGGCCCCATGGGCTGCCTATCGGCAACAATTCAGTAAATCACCAATACCATCTCTTAGGGAAACTGGGGATCCAAATACTTCCTCTACCCTTCCAAAGCAGGAGGAGACCTTTCAGTGGTGAATTCCTCATCTGCCCTAGCCTCCAACTCCTCAAAGTGCCATTGACATTGTCATCGCTGGATGAGGTGCTCCGGCCTCTCTCTTCTTCCATTGCCAGTTACTTCAGACAATTCCAGGACCTCAATAGAATGATATTGGACACTCTGCACATCCCTCTGGGGGAGGTCAAAGACCAGCAGCACAGGCTGCTTGATATTTTGCAGTCAGCAACACCTTTCAGAGTGGCGCTACCTATTAATGAGTCTCTCCTGGATCTGGCTAAGACTGTATGGCAGATGCCAGCCGCTATTCCACCAATGTGCAAAAGGACGGACATGAAGTATTATGTGCCATTTTAAGGACTTTGACTTTTTTGTTTTCCCATTCCCCACCTAACGCCCTCAGGATGGATGCTCTGAATAAACGGAGTAGTCAGCATTTTTGGAGGGCTACTCCCTATAATAAGGATCAGAAGCGATTGGACCTCTGGGCAAAAGGCTTAGTCCTCTGCAACCTTGCATTTCAAGCTTGTGAACTATCAAGTGATCATTGCCAAATATAACTTTACTAATTACAACATGCTCACAGCCTTTATTGAACATGTGCCACATGACTGCAAGGAACAATTCCAGTCTGTTGTTGCAGAGGGTCAGCTGTTGGCCAGAACTGCTCTCCAAGTGTCCCTAGATGCTGTGGATACTGCTGCCATGTCCATCTCTATGGCAATGGTTATGCACAGGGTGTCCTGGCTCCAGCGTTAGGGGGTTCCAAGAGAGGTACAAAACATGGTAGAAGACTTTCCCTTTGGCCACAAAACTCTTCTCGAGACCATGAATGACTCTCTGCACATGCTTAAGGGCTCCAGGGCTACCCTATATTCCTTGGGAATTTATACACCTCTGAGCAAGAAGTGTTTTAGTAGCTCACAGAATGCCCAGAGATCATGCCCTGCTCAGTTCTCGGGGTACCAAAGACCTGCAGAACCCACCCAGAAAGAGACACAAGTTTCAGAGGAAGAGGGCCACCCATGTGCCCTCTGCAACCACTTAGGCATCCTCTAAACAGCACTTTTAATGGGTTGATTGATGGTTGGAATCCTCCCATTCCTCTGATTTTACAGTTGTATCCTTTAGCCCACTTCCCTCCTTTTGAGGACCTCCTTGTCCATTTCCACCAGGCTTGGGAGTGGATCACCACAGATCAATGGGTCTGGGAGGTCAGAATATCAGGCTACACCATACAGTCATTCTCTTGCTTCCACCCCTTTTCCCCATCACTCTTCAAGGAACTTTCTCCTGGGCCTCCACTAAGGCAAGAAGTGCTCTGGATAGGAGCAATAGAGCTGGCCCTTACAGGGGCAAGGGTTTCTACTCAAAACTTCCTAGTACTGAAAAAGGATGGAGGTTGGAGGCTGATCTTAGATATAAGATAGCTGAACAAGTTAGACACACAGCTTATCAAAGGAAGGAAGGAAAAGCCCCAGGAAAAGATGGACTGACAACTGAAATAAGAGCTGGAGGCCAAGACCTCTGGGAAACCCTTGCTCAGAGGCTTAGCCATTATTTGGAAATGCAGAAGATGCCGTCTAGCTGGAAGGAGTCCAACACCATTTTGCTGTACAAGAAGGGCGATCATGAAGATCTAAAGAACTATCATCCAATAGGCCTGCTCTTACATGTCTACAAGCTGTTCACCAAAATAACAACAAACCGACTCTCCAGAGTCTGGATGAGGAGCAGGCAGGTTTTCAAAGGAATTTCAGCACAATGGATCATATTTTCACTATAAACCAGCTACTGGAATGCTCCAGGGAATACAAATTCCCTTTATGCATTGCCTTTTTCAACTATGAAAAAGCGTTCTACAATGTAAAGATCAATGCAGTGTTGAAAGCTCTTGCAGAGAAGGGCATCAACACAAACTACATCAAACTACTAAAGGAAGCAAATTCTGACTGCACTACACATATAACTCTGTTTGACACTCCCCTTCGCATCCCAGTTAAAAAAGGTGAAACAAGAAGACATGGTTTCACCAAAACTCTTCACAGCCTGCATCAAAATGGTAATAAGGCAGATGAATGGGAAGGGTGGAATCAACATAAATGGAGAGCAGTTAAGCCGCCTTAGATTCGTGGACGATGTCATGTTGATTGCCGAAAATACTATCAAACTACAGAAAATGCTGAAAGAATTCAACACAAAAAGCCGCCAAGTAAGACTGAAAATGAACCGCTCCAAGATGAAATTTTGATTTGATGCCTTGCCAAAAGCTTAAATAACAGTCTGGGGAGAACAAATAGAAGAAGTTGAGCAATACGTGTATTTGGGCTAAGAAATTAACATGCGCCACAGTCTTTCCCAAAGAAAAAAAGGTTGGCACGCATTCAGTTCTATCCAGGATGTCCTCCAAGGAAAAATCAACAAGGCAACATGCGCCAACCTCTTCAACTCAACAGTACTGCCGGCAACGTTGTACGGCAGTGAAACATGGGCACTGATGAAGATAGAGGGGCAACAACTGTCTGTCACAGAGACGGCGATGGAAAGAAGAATTCTGAGGATTTTAATTCGCAACCGAGTCCCCAATGAAGTGATCAAACAGCAGAGTGGAGTGCAGGACGTCATTGTTGGAAGCAGATACAGTAAAATGCAATGGGCTGGGCATATAGAGAGGCTCACTGACAATCGATGGATTGCAGTGGTTGCTGTGTGGTATCCACGGGAACTGAAACAACTACCCGGTTGATCTCCAAAGAGATAGGAAGATTTCATCATGAAAAGACATGGCAGCGCATGGAGAAGGAAGGCCAGCATAAGAGAAGAATGAAAGATGTGTTGTGATCGGCGCAATCTATATGAGGGCTGAATAACTGATCAATCAAGATGATGAAAGACATTTCAACTGGTAGGAACGTCAGGGTGGGGGCATTCCCCATTGGCTCTACTAGGCTGTTTGGGCTTGGCTTCTTTTTGACTGAGTCAGGGGTGGAACGAAATGTTGGACTCTCCCAAATGCCACTAACTTGTGGTGCAACGTAAGTGGCTCACAATAAATTGTGTAGATCTGTGATGTCTCTCCCCCCCCCCTTATGTGAAGAATTAAGTAGCTTAAATGTCAGTTAGCTATCGTTGTGCAGCTTAGTTACTATCTTAATAAAATGAGTTCACAGGTCTAAGAGCTATAGTTCCAGGCTCACTTCACACTCAGGTAGACATCTCTGTGTTTGATTACTTGCTTTTATTTTTTTAATGAATGCTATGATTCTGGAGAGCAATGTAGTAGGTTTGGAGAGGTGTAGGTACAGCGTATTGGCACAAATTGGCTGTTTCTTAGCCCTGCTATGGATAGTTTGAATCCTAAAGATGCCGGCATCCCACTGACCTATTGAACTTTTCTTTGGATCCCTTCCAAGATATTGATGAGCCTTTGATCTGAAGTTACCATATCTAAATGTGCCAATGACAACCCTAGAAGCAATAAGTGGAATTAGTCACAGAATGCGTTTCAGGTTTTTAATAGAAAAAAGGGCGCTAAAATGTATATAAACATCTACAAAGTCCAGAGTACGTTGTCATTGGTCGTCTTCTGTGAAAGACATGATTGTTCCCAGACACATTTTTTTTTAATTATTTTTAAATAAAACACAGAACCACCATTTTATGTGAAATTCTATTTTTGGTCAGTCACATTTTTTTGTTATGTTTCCTTCTGTTTTCAGAAGTGAAAGAAACATCTCTCTAAGTAGAAAGCAGTGACAACCTCAAGAGGGATCGTGGCTTGTGCTTCATTTTCAAAGACTTTGGGATTTTTAGAGGCTCTGACTGCTGTTTAGCTGCTTTGATCACTGCTTTTTTTTTCTCTGTTTACTGAACAATATTGCTTACTATCTGCACCATCATACTGTCTTATCTATATTTTTTTCCATAACCACTTTTCCATTTATTTGTTTGAGAGATGCATTTTCTAGAATATGCATTTAAATTGTAGTGCTCATATTTTATCTAACTGCCAAGTATTTTGAGAAAATATTTGGCTTTGACTCCAGTACTGCTTGCTTTTAAATTCAGTTTTTAAGAGCTGAGATTTTGTTGCCAGCATTCAAAAGGAAATTCTACGAGTAGGCATAAGACCAAGCTTAGCGTTGGTACAAGAGAGCACAGCTTCTGTTGACTCCTACAGGATTTTCTGTTGCCTAAGTAAAAGGTCAGGCCAGTGGTAGTACAAAGACTGTAATCACAAGGGCTAATAGCAAAATAAGTGTATTCTTGAATCTTGCAACATAGACTCTCATTTCACAGTCCTTTCCGTACTGTATTTCAAAGAACATTATCACAAGTGCAGAAGTCGTTCCTTTGCTTTAAATTACTAGGGAAAGCAACTGAAGCAAAGATTGTTGACATTTCAGGATTGATACTTGAAATGTTTATCGTTACTGATACAGCAGGAATAGGTATGTGAGATGCTTTGCAGAACAAGTAAAATACAAGGGCACTATCTTCAGGAGATTAGTTTCAGTGATATCAAGAGTCTTTTGTAGAAAAAGGGATGTAGTGGTGTGATTGGTGGGGAAAGAGGAAAGTGGTATTAAGAATTTGTTTTTAGTGCACGCATGTTGATCTGTATATACTTTTACTATATTTTGTTCTTTGCTGCTTGATTTCATTATTGATTAGTTTGTGCTATACGTTAATAAAGAAATCTAATTATCTTTCAGGCTTCTTCAAAAAATGACATTTTGAAAGTTTGCAGAAAAGAATATGAGGTATACATATTTTAAATTACAAAATTAAAGTGTTCTGTCTGATTATATTTTGTAGAATGTATACAACATGTGTGTTCTACAAGAACTTGTCTTCACTTTTATTCCAAAATGTACTATTTGCTACTTACCAATACAACATAGATTTGATTTGATTTTTACAAACACCACAGAGTTATTGCTCAAGTTTGTAAAAATACATTACTAATTTTTATGGCTCAAAAGAAAACACTTTTCTTAGCAAAAATGAAGGTTCTAAAATAATTCTATAATTCTAATTGCATATGAGGTTTTTTTTTTCTTGAGAGTAAATGATCATTTCTTTTATAAGAAATATTTTAACTTCAAAATATAGGCTTTTATTTAAGAGATTATAGCAAAAGATACCTTTTAGAGGTGTTTATATATAATATGAAGTTTTTCAGTGATTTAAGTAACTGCAATGCTATTGTAGACATCAGCAATCATCTTAAAGCCTTTTTAATGTTAAAAGTTCTGTCCTTAAGGTAAGAAACGATGATACTTTCAGAATTTCTCTTTAGTATTCACGCCTTTCAACACCTGAAATTTTGAGAAAGCTATTACTTACCTCTCCTGCTTGGAAGAAAAGAGACCATGCTAGGATTCTTTCTTTCCTTTCACTCTGGTTTCCAAATTAAAATCCAAGTCCACCTCCCCACCCCCCAAATTATACAGTCCTACATAAATTAGGTTCATATAGTAACCTTTCGTAATCCACAATGCATAATCTTGTACAATTCTCTTTTCTTTGTTTCTTTTCTAATTAGGGAATAAATGTGTAATGCTTTGCCCAATCTGCAGAAGACCTTATTAAATTAAACACAACTTAGCTTCATTTCTTTTGTCAAAGAAATGTTAGGAAAAAAAATCTTTTTCTCCAGTTCTTTACTACTGGAATTATTGTAGTTTGAATTCTCTTGAACAAGAACCTTTATTTTAAGCATCTTTTTCTCCTCTACTGCTGTTTTATACTATGCTCTCCACATCTGCAACCTTTTCCTCTGTTATGCTGGTGTGTTTCCTTTTCTTTTCTGGATTTCTGCATTGCTGTTGAAGGTTGGCCAATATGTGTTGATGGAGAACGGGAGAGGAAATTTAAAAGGTAAGAGAGGCTTAAAAATGACAAAATGGTGACAGAACACCCTCCTCGTTACTGAGAATGTTTACTTTGCCCATTTCTTCTTCTTTGCACTGTTTTTGGCTGGAATTGTACAAAATGGTTTCTCCATTTTATCCTAGATTGATCTCTCTTCAGTTGGACAGAAAATATTCTTTTTGACTATTTGCACAACTTCTAACTGAACAACTTATAAATAAAGAGGAGAGAAAGGACAAGTTCTTAAATGTTGAAAGGGGAGATCAATTGGACAGGGTGGAAAAAGAGCAAATATGCCTAAGTTAAATAGGTGGTAGAAATAATGGGCTAGTGTAAATATATTGTGGATTGAATGAAGAATCTGGCATGATGGATCTTCATTAATTATTGATTTTGTCATCTTTCGTTGGACAACCTGTAATGATTAATTTATATCTAAAGTCAGACCTACTGGTACTAATAGGTTAGATTTTATTTATTTATTTATGTTATTTATTTCTATATTGTGAAAATTGCTTCCTTGGTTGTACCAAATACAAGGAAGCTTTGCCAAAGGTAAGGGTGAGATGTTCCACAAACTATTTGATCTTCTGAAAGTAGGTGCACTGTCTCCTATAGTTTGGAGGCATTTCCCTCGTATTGGTTTTGGATATGAAATCAGACGGAAGAGCAACAGAATAGTTGATAAGAGTGGCTGGTCAAAAGTCAAATCATTGTGAAATCTGAAACAGAATCTATATGGCACATAATGAGTGTGTGAGGCTTGGCATGTATCAGTACATCTGAGTCTGTTTTATACATGTGATATGTTGATGGTATTTCTTTAATGCAAAGACAAATTAGAATTAATTTTCTAGCACTGACTTTCTACTTAATCTCTCCTGTTCTCAGCTTCCTTTCTTGTGGTGTGTGTTTTCTCTCTCTCTCTCTCTCTCTCTCTCTCTCTACACACACACACACACACACACACACACACACACACACACACACACACACACACACACACACACACACACACTTATGTACTTAAGTACAAATCATATAAAAGCTAGGTAACTTAAATAAGAGCCTGAAATGCAATTAATTCCTTCTTTTCAAATTTTCATAGCTTGTTATTACGTAATACTGGTATATATGGATCCGCCCGAGAACTTTCATAAGATGTCTCTTAGATACAGTCAGATGAGCTGCACTAGTATTTTTTTAGCAATCAGCAGAGGCTTGGGGCTAAGGGAACAACTGCATCTGAGTTTCCTTTCAGCCTCCCACCAGCCCAATAAGTTTGAAGAATGAGGTAAGACCATAAAGATGGAGCATAATGTGTAGGGAGGAAATAGGAGGGGGGCACATGAAACGAGGTTGCCAAAGAGGCCATTTTCTACAAGTTGGTGTCATAATAGATTCACTTTGTCACCAAAGTGACAATTTTCTCAGAGCTTATTGGAGACACTTTTCCCTCAGTAAATGTTGCTGGATCAGATGATCATAATGGTCCCTTCTGACCTTAAAGTCTATGAGTCTATGAGAGTCACTTTAAATGTGTGTGAATCATATGTAAGTCTTGGTTGGTATATTTGCATCCCAGTTGTGGATTTTGTAATTGTGGGTTTATAAACAAGTTTTGTTGACTGCTTTGAAAATGTAAAGCACCTATTCTTTAGCTACTAAATATTTATTATTGTGTTCAAGTAACATTATATCAATACATTTTTAAAAGTTTAACAATGCTATCCAAATATTTATAAAATGCAGCTGAAGTACACTTTTTTCATTGGGGGTTTTTTCAACTCTTTTTTTTTTTTGTCCTTTCTCTCTGCTCCTTTTCAGCTGCTTCTTCTTGTCTTTCTTTCATCCTCTTTCTACCTATGTATATCTCTTCTTTTTCCTTCTTCACTTCTTCCAGCTCTCTACTATCCTGTTCATCTCCTTCCAAAAAGGTAGGTAAAAGACAAGTAAGGGATGGAGGGCAGGGGAGGGGAACTGCATGTGAGTTTTTATTATTAAGATGTGTGTAGAGTTGAGGTTTACTATGTTGAGAATATGACAAAGTAGGATATAATGCCTGAAATAATAGGGTGGGAGGGCATAATTGCCTACTTGAGGTCACTTTTTGTGTTGAAAGAGCAGTACTGTAACTTTCCTTTATACTACAAATGTCAGTCCTACACACTGCAGATTATGCTTTTCCCTACACATTAAGAACTCCATTTTGTTGTCCCCCTCCCCCCCCTGCTAAATGCAGTGCACTTTTCGTAAGTCTTGGCTGAAGTTTCTCTTAATTTAGTTCACTGTCTCTTGTAGACACCTACCAATAATAATATAACTCTGGTAGCAATAGCAGCAGCCATCTTTGATAAATGTAAGTGGAAATGTTCCTTAGTTTTTAGTTTCTGTTCCTCGCATTCACTGTAAAAATTATTTTTTAAACAGAACAATATTGGGCACTCCTCCTGGTGCTCCTGGGACAGTTAAAAGGTATTTTTATTTCCTTCAATTTTTGCAACATTTTATTTCTTTTTGTGTAGCTTTTTCATGTTTCCTACATTAAATAAAACATTTTAAAAAGCAGCGCAAGAGCATGTGCTTCAAATGCTGTGCTCTGTATGGGGAAAAATATCATGTCTCAAACATACCTTTTTACACTCAGTGAATAGCAGCTTCGAAGTTACTGTACTGGTACTTTTTGTTCTAGATCATAGGATAATAGAATCCTGCTCTAGTCAATGACTGAGAGATCAATGAATATTGCTGATAATATCCTGTAAAGAATGCAGCCTGAAACTTTTGGTTCTCATCTGATCTCCTCTGCATGCTCTCGCTCTTGAGATGTTCATGTCCTCCCTACTGTGAGCATGGAATCATCTAAAAGCGGCAATCATTGGGTCTATGCACATGCCTTCTGTATCTAAATGTTCAGTGTAAGGGCACATATGTCACTATGTCCCCAAATGTCCTCAGTTCCTCTGTCACCACCATAGACTTCGTAAATATCATCATTCTCAACAGACCATTGGCTCAAATTTTATTGTTTTCACTGCTAGTTTTACTTGTCAGAGTAGTGTATTTATTAGATCTAGGATTGTTGAGCAAAAAAACGGTGTTCATTAGAATTATTAACAGCTGATACCATTGCAAGGTGCCATTTGGTACTGGTATCCTCCACAGCTCCATACTGGGTCTGAGTTACCAGGACACTAACGAGCCCAATTTGCTTGTCAATTTGATTGCTTGTGGTTCTGCCTTCAAGTCATGGCTAATTCTGTTAGCCTTAATGTATGAATAAATTGACTGACTGTGGGTCCTGACCCTGGAAAACCCATCTCGTCTCAAAGGGGCTGACATGGTCAAGCCTGAAAGAAAGTGTGTGCCTTCCTGTAATTTAAAAATACCCTTTACAGACCAGCAACCTTGTTGCTTAAAGCAAGGTGCAATCACTGAAGTGTAATGGTTAGTTTCTGCCAGTTTTGCTCCTTTGGCCAAATGTAAAAAGGAGTGTTGGCTTAGGCTGTTTCTCATGGAGGTGGTGCTAAAGCATGGCTGGCTGGTATAGTGAATCCATCTTTTGGATTCAAGTCTTGTCAGTTTGATGTGCCCCAAGAAATCAGCTTGATCTCATGGTTCTTTTAACCCAAGGTGTTCTGTGTCCTAGGGCTTGGTCCACACATTTACTTTTTGCATACTGGAGCATTAGGAACAGTGTCAGAAGTTTTAAAAATAGAGATATCAGTCAAACCATTTCTCTTGGACACCTCACTTGGACTTCCATCTACGAATCCAATAAGTCCAGGGACAGTATATCATTGGATCTGAAGGCTGCAGCTGAGGGTGACTCCGTAATCCTGTGCTAGAGGATCAAACAGTTGCTGTTCTGTTGGCCTTCCTAGTT